TAGGGAAGGTGCCCAGGCAGTTCTTGGGCCCTGCCTGGAGGCCCCCAGAAGTCCACTAGGGTGTGTGCACTGGAGCTTCCTGCCTGGACTCCACCTTGGCCAGCACCCAGCCTTCACCCTACTCTAGGCTGCTGTTGTGGTCCTCACACTTCCCAAGTGTGGCTGTCAGAGCTAGGCCTTATCTGGCCTGTGGCCAGGTCCTGCCTGGCAGCAGCCTCACCATCAGCTGGCCACGACATACCTGAGTCTTACCTTCAGACCTGTCTCTGCCTTGCCAGTGACTGTAGCAGGCAGCTGTGTCTCAGGTACCCCATTTGCTGTTTGTGGGAGTAGGACAAGGCAGTGTTTAGGAGAAGCAAGTAGAAGGCAGGGTGTGCCAGCCGCGGGCTGCCATGGGCACTAGAGCCTGGGCAGTGCCTCAGAGCTGTGCACGAGCTTGGGCGTTTGTTTTACCCCCTCTTATCACACCTCCTGGATGCAGGCTGTGCCCCCCTCCTAGAAGGGTCGCCCTGTTCTGGATATAATGCCAAACGGGGGGCCTATTAGAGCTGGATGGCTCTCCAGACACTTTTTTTTTTTTGAGATAGAGTCTCAAGCTGTCGCCCTGGGTAGAGTTCAGTTTTTTGAAACCGACCTCAAGCTGTCCCCCTGGGTAGAGTTGCGGTGGCATCACAGTTCACAGCAACCTCCAACTCCTGGGCTCAAGCAAGTCCCCTGCCTCAGCCTCCCAAGTAGCTGGGACCATAGGCGCCTGCCACAACGCCCAGCTATTTTTTGGTTGCAGCCATCATTGTTGTTTTGGCGGGCCCAGGCTGGATTTGAACCTGCCACCTTAGGTGTATGTGGCTGGCGCCTTAGCCACTTGAGCCAGAGGCGCAGAGCCCAGTTTTTCTATTTTTGGTGGAGGCGGGGTCTCACTTTTGCTCAGGCTGGTCTTGAACTCGTGAGCTTAAGCAATCTACCTGCCTTGGCCTCCCAGAATTCTAGGATTATAGGCATGAGCCACCGCATCCATCTTCTCCAGGGAGCTTTTGGGTTGATTCATCGTTGGGATTTTAGGGCCAAGGAGGGCAGGAACTTGCCTAGAAAGACAGGCCTTCCGAGTGTGGCTGGGGCCTGCCCTCTGCCTCTCCCCTTGTTTCATTGCCTTCTTCTGCCAACCAGGAATGGGCAAGGGTGAGGGTTGTCTTGCCTAAGACTCTGTGTCTGGGAACAGCTGGTCTCCTGGCCAGGGTTACTGCAGAGGTTTCCCATGGCAGAGTGGGAAGTCCAGATAGGCAGTGGTTGGGATCTAAGCCCAAGAGCTGTCAGCTGTCTTAGCTCTCCAGCCCCAAAGTTAGCCCACGACCCCTCTCTCCATAGGTGTCCCCTGAAGACCTTGCAGAAATGTGAGATTGCCTTGGAGAAACTCAAGAATGACATGGCGGTGGTAAGTGGAGTATTGGGTACCTCCCGGGGAGGTTGGGGTACACCCCTGGTGTCTGGGAGAACTAAGTAGGAGGAGTCTTCCTAGTCAGGTGTGCTGAGAATAAGGGAGAAGCCACCCCTCTCCCTGTGGCCCCATGGGTACTGCTACCACTCAGCCGTGGCCAGGAAGCAGGGAATTGTGTCCAGGGTCAGCCAGTACTGTCTGTACAGGGGTGGACATTGTGAGAAGAGCCTCAGAAATCTGACTGTGCGTGAACATGAGGGCCTTGGGGACAGGAGGGCCCCAAAGAGTGGTTACAGCCTCGAGTTCCAGGCTGGCTGCTGACCTCTCCCTGTTCCATCTTCAGCCCACACCCCCACCACCTCCAGTGCCACCTACCAAACAGCAGTACCTGTGCCAGCCACTCCTGGATGCCGTCCTTGCCAACATCCGTTCACCCGTCTTCAACCACTCCCTGTACCGCACATTTGTGCCAGCCATGACTGCCATCCATGGCCCACCCATCACGTGCGTAAGGCTGGGCTGGGCCTTGTAGGGGGTAGTGGCTGTAGGCTGCATGCAGCCAACCTGGTCACTGCTCCCCTCCTCAGAGCCCCGGTGGTGTGCACACGGAAGCGCAAGCTCGAGGAGGAGGAGAGGCAGAGCATCCCCAACGTGCTCCAGGGGGAGGTGGCCAGGCTGGACCCCAAGTTTCTGGTGAACCTAGACCCTTCTCACTGCAGCAACAATGGTACCGTCCACCTGATTTGTAAGCTGGGTGAGTGTCCTGGGAAGGCAGTGAGTGTCCTGGGGAGACAGTGGCAGGACTGCTGGCACCCTCTATGCAGGGCACGCCAGGTTCCGAGTCTGAGAGTCAGAGGGACCCATAGGCTGCGGAACCTTCCAGGTTGTGAGGAGTCCTGTTCCAGGGCAGGGCAGCCAGGGTCTGTCTAGGTCAGAGGTGCAGCCATATGTGTTACAGATGACAAGGATCTCCCAAGTGTGCCCCCGCTGGAACTCAGTGTGCCTGCTGACTACCCCGCTCAGAGCCCACTATGGATCGACCAGCAGTGGCAGTACGGTGGGTGAACCTAGGGGAGCTGGCAGGGGCCAAGGCAGCTGGGGCCAAGGCAGCTGGGGCCAGCAGCTGGCGAGCAGGGTTCCCAATGACCACCTATGTTCTCCTCCCACCCCGACTGAGCCCCACCTTCCCCTCGCTGGCTTCCTGTTCAGACCAGTGCTGGTTGCTTAGTGGTCACCTGAAGAGAGAAGGTTCTATCCATTTGTGTCCCGTTGCCCTTTTATCTCTGCATCAGGCCAGCATGTTCAGTGGGTGAGGGGCGAGTGGGCCCACGGCTCAGGATGGACCCAGCTCCCTGCAGTAGCCCCTGTGAAGCTTGGCAGGGCTGAGGCAGGTCAGAGGGACTGCCAGAGTTTAATATGGGGACCCATCTGGGTGACATGGCTCCAGAGAGAGCCCCATTGGCAGAGGATGGCTGCCCTGAGCATCAGAGCTGGTACACAGCCCGGCCAGGACTAAGTCCCAAAGACTGTCATAGAAGGAAAGCCCCCGGCTCTGTATTCAGTTCATATTCCAGATTTTCACCACCCACATGGCTGTGGTGGGAGAGCCTGGTGGCTGGGCACTGTAGGAGGCAGGTGATAGCCCAGTGTACGCACTCACATCTCAGGCTGCCCTTCCTGGGGAGCTATAGAGTGTGGCCCACTGCTCACAGCTCATCCTTCTGCCGTAGACGCCAATCCCTTCCTGCAATCAGTGCACCGGCGCATGACGGCGAGGCTGCTGCAGCTCCCTGACAAACACTCCGTGACTGCCCTGCTCAACACCTGGGCCCAGAGTGTCCACCAGGCCTGCCTCTCAGCCGCCTAGCTGGGACTGCAGGATAGCCAGCATCCTCACTGGGCCATGGACACATCCCTCCCAATGGACATTGCTAGGTGTGGGCTTCCTTAGGGAGCCTAGGGTTAGATTAGCTTTCCTGCTTTTATCTTCTGCCTTGGGGACCTGCCAAACGAAATTCCACACTGCTCAGAACTGGGACAGATGGCTATGGAGCTGGCTGGTGGGGACATGGGCTATCTTCTTAGAGAAGGTTCTCTGTGTCTCCAGGGAGTCAGACACTGCCCCTGGCCACGATTCTTGGGCTGCTCTTGTGGCCTTTCCATAGTCTGCGCCCAGGTTTGGGTCCACTCTCAGCAACATGAGGGAGAACTCCAGTTCTTATCAGAGCATCTGTGTGTGCTAGAACACACGTCTACACGTTTCCATAGGAGAACGTGGAGGACATAGGAAGCCCTTAAAATATGGTTCTCTGATCACGGTTTTGAGTTCAGTCTGTGCCACTCTTAGCAGTGGGCTCCTGGGTCCAGGGCACAGACTGCGTCTTGGCTGCCTGTTCCCAGCCGCCACTCAGCCTCAGCACTGTGAGGAGCCCAGGGAAGAGCGCCAGGTGCCATGTCCTTCTCTGAAGGAGGAAGAGTGATGTCCTCAGGCCCAGCATCCTCAGAGCTTCCTGTGCTCTGTGCCACTCCAGAGGGTGGGCTCCCGGCTGGGATAGGGCCATGGGGCAGCATGGCCCCTCCCTGTGTTGCCTGCCACTCTGGGTGCCAGTCAGCAGCCCTCTGGTCATGAGGTGTTCCCCTTTTTATGTGCACTACCCCATCAGTGGTTCTTATAATAAATATATTATTCCTGTGTTTGTCAGGAGTTCATCACTGCATCTTCTTCGTGAATCTGGGGCCTGCTTTCCTGTCAGGGATATTGTCAACTCTGGAGTCAGCAGTATCCAGTCTGGCCCTGAGTGCCCCAGACCTCACCTCCGCTCACCTGACACACTGTCCTATCCCTAAGCCGGGTCCATGCCCCAGGTTCCTAGCAAAGTTCCTGTTTGCCAAAGCAGGAAGAGGCTGAGACTAATGCCAAGGACATGGGGCCCTGGGACTGGGAGGACTATGGTACCCAGGCGAGGGTGGGCACTGAGCTGACCATCCCAGGCAGTAGATGGTGCTACTCTGGTGACAGGGAGCAGAGGGGCTGGACACAGCATTCTGGAGATGACAGGTCTTCTTTTGCTATGGCCCTCTAGGGAGGAAGGTGGGCTTAGCCAAACCACTTGTCAGCCCTGCTGAGTGTCAGGACAGGGAAGAACAGCATCTTGCCCCCCAGGAGTGACCAGTCAGGGCAGGAGACTTAGAGTAACTGTGCTCCTAGCAGGCAGCTCCCAGCCTAGCCAGTGGACCAGGAAAGCTTTCCCGTCTCCAGAGGGGCAGATGTGGCTGTGTTGACGTGGCAGGTCCCCTCCAGACTAGCAGGGAGCTGGATTAGGGACCAAGGGCTGGGAGATGTGAGACACAGTTGGAGAAAAACAGCTTTATTTTCAGTATTCACATTTTGTAATGTGCCTTTTTGAGTTAATGCAGAACAGCAAAATAATAGCAAGAAAATATACAGTTCTTTGGTTTGGAGGTCAAGTACCTTATCTGTCATGGGTTTATCTTGGAATTTAGCTTGGTTTAAAAGTATTCAGATCCTTTAGAAGTGCAGGTCGACCACAGCTTAGGGGCAGTGGACTCAGAACACGGAGCGATGTAGGCGCCGGCTCTGCACCACCTGCAGCCGCTTCTGCCGCTCGGCAAAGGTGCTCTTCAGGGTCTGTTTCAGTGCAGGCAGGATGGCACGCTCCGCCACGGGTGTGGGGCTCAGTATCAGGCTGGGGACCGGTGGGGGAAGGTCACCTGAAACATCCTCAGGAGTGGAGGCTGCTGGGACCTCGGCCAGCCTGCATCTGAGCCCCGAACCTCCCTGTGCACTGGGCTGCAGGGCTGCCCTCCCCACGCAGGGGCTCACCATTTCTTAGAGAGGTTCTTGCTGGAGACCTTGGGGAGCTGCATGGCCTCCTGCTCCCTGCGTGAAAGGAGAGTCAGCAGTGAGCCCTGGACAGGCCCTGATGGGACGCAGTGGGCCAGGGCGTAGGCACTCACTTGGGGGGACTGGGCCCAGCCTCTGCAGGGGCAGCCTTGTGCCTCTGGCTCCCCTCCAGGAGGGCCTTGAGATGCTGGAGCTGAAAGGCATGGGAGGGTGTGATGGGTGTGGCGGTGCCAGCCACCCAGGGCCAGCCCTGCCCAAGCCTCACCTCTTGGGCCTGCAGGAGGTTGGCGTTCCACAGCTGGCGGATGACCACCTCGCACTGCTGAAGAGTGGTGGGCTTGCGCAGGTATGGGGGCAGGCTCGTCCAGGGGGGTGCACCTGTTGCTTGCCTGCCCCTGTGCTGGATGCCTGCCCCTAAGGGGGCCCCTGGGTGAGAGATTTCCACTTCCTCATCTCTGAAATGATCATTGCAGCAGCCCTGAGGTGACTTGCCTGGGCTGGTCTAAGCACCCACTCAACCCCACCACACACACCCCGGGCCAGTGTGGGATCAGTGTGAGGAAGTCAGTGGGCTCCCTTTCCTGACTAGGGTGCTCTGGGCAAGCAGGTGGGGCCAGCTGGGACCTGGGACCACCCACCCATTTGTTCCCACTGAAGGTACACTGAGGGTTAGATGGGGGTTCCAAAGGTGACCAGTTAGCTGCCAGGCTGCCCTTGGGCCTCATGCATTTAGGGCTGGTTTGGGGAGAATCTTAGAGCTATGCCGAGAACCAAGAGCCTGTCCTGCTTGATTACTGCCCAGAGTGCACTCTCTGCAATGTCCCAGGGCAGTCCTGAGAACTCAGGGGTCACCAGAACTTAGTCTGGCTCTGTCTTGCTGGCCCAGTATCGTTCAAAGGCGGCCAGCCCTCTCTGTTCTAATCAGACTCACTGTTTTCTTGGTAACAAAGATTGCTTTGTGTTTCTTTTCTCTGACAAAGTGGTTCAGGGGCTGCTGCTGACCCCCTCATGTGGGGTCAGGTCAGCAGACTCCTAGGGGTGGGGAGGAAGACAGCGCCCACCAGCCATGTGGAGCCTGGCGTTGTCTGCTTCCGAGAGCCTTGGTTCCCATAGGAAACAGGCCCAAGGAGCAAAGGACAGAGCAGCTGGTTTACTCCAAGGTAGGACTTACTGTGCACAGTCCTGGGCCCACATGCAGGCCCGGCCCGCAGGGTGCGCACCAGCCTACCTGGCCTGCCCCTGCACCCCAGGTACTCTGTCCAGTTTGCTGCTGTGAAGGGAGGCAGTGCTAACAGGCTCCTCTTCCAGGTCCACCTTCTGGAGGCCATCAGGCTTTGACTCTTGCTTCTTGAAGGAGCTGGGTGGGGGCCTGAACTTGCCTTGAGAGTTGGCTGCAGGTTGGACCCACAGGGCCAGTCACTGCAGACATCAGAAGTGCTGCCCACGTCCTCCAGGGTTGGTGTGTGCGCCCAAGCTGCCCCTGCCCCTGTAGTTCTGAGGGTGAAGCCTGTGGGTGGTGCCTGCTGAACAGGCGATCACAACGGGGAACGCTCCTATTCTGGGTAAAATGAAACTGCACGAGAGGCCTGAGAGCCAACCTGCACACATTTACTTTCTAAGGACAAGGCCCGTTGCCCACCTGGGCCCTACACAGAAAAGGAGGGCCGCTGCTGGTGAGGATGCTGGGCCTCTTGGCAAGGCCTGGAGGGGAGAAGAGACACCAGCTCCCTCTGCAAAAGATGCCACAAGCCCAGGGCCACTGGGCAGGCCAGGTCGCCTGCATCCTGCCTGCTTGGGGAAGCTGGTGCACACCCTTCTCCCAAGAAGCCCACTCTGGAGGCTAAGCCAGCACTCAGCAGCCCCCCAGAGCCAGACTGCCCTGGGGAGGGGCTGCCCAGGGCCTTGCTGCTGGTTTTTGTATTCTCATGTCAGGGGCTCCCTCCTGCAGCCCACAGTCCTATCCCAGCCCACCTCTGCCCTTGTAGCAGCATTAGCTTGCAGGGCACCTGAGGCCTTCCTCCTTGGCTCTCTTCAGCCGCCCCTTCACCTTTTGCCCACAGAATCTGACTTTTGATCTGCCCAGCAGCTTAGCCACCCAGGCCTGGGGCCCCAGTGGGGCACGGGCCCCTCTGAGCTCATGGAACCCAGTCTGCTCACCTGACACTGTTGTGTTGGACACTGACTTATTGGAAGGGAAACTGGCAGTGGAGATGCTGCCTGCAGAGGGCACACGGAGCTGGGTGGCAGCATTGCAGGGCCATGACCTCCCTGCTGTACCCCACACTCTGGGAGCACATGGAGCTGGGTGGCAGCATTGCAGGGCCGTGACCTCCCTGCTGTACCCCACTTTCTGGGAGCACACAGAGCTGGGTGGCAGCATTGCAGGGCCATGACCTCCCTACTGTACCCCATACTTTGGGAGCACCCAGGGGCGCAGAGGTCACCAGAAAGATTATTTCCTGACAGGCCATTCAGAAAGCAGGGGGCTTGGGACCAGTGTAGCGTCCTGAATGAGAGCACAGCCTCCAGTGTCCCAACAGGGTCCCAGGCACTACAGGGCTTAGATCACTAACTTGGGCCACACTTTGCCCAGAACAGTTCACTGGAGCTGCCACACCCTTAGAAGAAGGGTCCTCCCTCACCCCATCCTCTGCATATTCCCCAGAAAGAGAGCCCTGAGCACCACCCAGACTGGGATGTCCCCAGGCTGGGCCTGTTCACCCATCAGACCTCCTGAAGTCAGATCTGGCCCCAGAGATGAGGGGAGAGAGTGAGCTCAAGAACCCAGCCAATGTCCCTGGGCTGGGCAGAGAGCCACAATCAGGATGAAGTGCCTCAGACAAGCGGCTGCAGGTCTCTGAGTCTCTGCTTCCTCCCCCACCCTGGCACCCTGGATGAGGTTGCTGAGGAGATGGCCACAAGAGAGGCTCCCTGGAAGGAGCATGCCCAGAGCACTCTACCAAGGTGTAGAATCAGAGGCCAAAACACCCAGGGCGGGGGGGACACCCAGGAGGGGAGGGGTTGTTCCAGGGCCCCCTCCTGTCTCAGGAGCTCTGCTCAGACAGGGAGGATTCAGCAGCCCCCCACCCTAAATGCTCTGCTCATTGTCCCTACTGTCCCTACTCACAAGCCTCAGGCCTTGGGCTCCCTGAGAGCAGCTCCTATTGTGCTTGGGTACATAAAGTCCCCCAGCCATAGCTGGGGGGCAATGGCGTCCAGGTCCCCCAGAACCTGTCCCCACTGGGTTAGCATGCTGGGGCCAGTGTACAGGTGAGCATGGATAGTGTGGAGGGGCTGCTGCTCTGCATGGTAGGGACTTCCCAGCACTAAAGGGGCTCAATCTCACCTTTCTTCTGTGGCTTCTGATTCATTATGAGCTTGTAATGGAGATCTGAAACCAAAGCACACGCTGTCCTCATCATTTAAAACAAAGCCATCGCCACTGGAAGAAGCAGCGTAGTCCACATCCCTGCCCCTAGAGGCCCACTAGCTTTCCCCACTACACCTGTGCCTTGGGCAACCAGGGCTAGAAATGCTCCTGGTTATTCCCTAGACAGAGCTCCGCCCAGCACACTCAGCCAGTCACCCTCTGCTCCAAATCTGAGACTACCACAAGTGCCAGACTAGGCTTCACTCCAGGAGCACAGAGATGAGTTGGGATGACCCCACACTGCTGGAGGCCTGGTTCCTGGATGAGCAAATGTGGTCAGTGTAATAATCAAGGGATGTCTGGGGACAGGGTTGAACAAATCTGGCCTGGGTGTCAAGGACTGAGGTGAGACTCAGGAAGGCCTGGGGACAGCACCGGGGGGTTCTGACATAGATGCCCAGTGGTAGAATACTCAGCACTCTAGGTAAGGCAGCACCAGAAAGGGGAGAGGGAGAAACTGAGGCAGCAGGCCTCAGTGCCCTGGCAGAGGAGCTCTAGGTGAAGGGTGAGGCTGGAGTGAGGAGCAGTCATATCACAGAGGTCTCACATTCTGCTCAGATGGAGTCCATGGGGTTAGGACCACAAGGGTGTGAGGAATGTGGGCACAAGGTGGAGGGGCCGGCTGGCCACTTGTCTGCTCCCCATCTGGTGTATTCAGTGGGAGAAAATGCACTGAGCTGTACACTGTGATGGGTTTGTTTTACTTCTATAAAGTTTCTTAACAGTGAGGGGAGTTTGACCCTGCCTAGAGAGGAGACAGCTGGCCGTGTGAATGCCTGAAATGACATTGCCCCTGCAGGGCAGGCTTCAGGGAGGGCAGCGCCCACGACCACCCCGGTCTAAGATCCTGGGGCAGGGAGAGCCCGGTGCGGCAGGACCCAGGGTGGGGCTTGCTGCCCCGTGTCTTCCCGAACCCCCAGCGTGCTCTGGACCCGTGAGCGGAGAGTTTCACTGTTGCAGGCCGGGGCGACGGGGCATCCGGGGAGACCGGCTCACCCTTGTTCTCCCGCTTCAGGTGCTCAATTTCCTCGTGGAGTTTGACCAGTGTCTCCGAGTGCTGGTGCTGCAGGAACTCCAGGCTCTTTTCCAGGTCCATGACCCGCTTCTGCGCATCGCTGTGTCCCGGATGCGCCGTCAGGCCCTGGAGGCCCGCGGCCTGGCGCTGGCGAAGACGCGACGTGCCTCGGGAGCCCGGGGTCGCCGAGATGGGGCGCTGCGCCCTGGCTGCCCCCGCCATCACGCTCATGTCGCCACCGCCGCCACTGCACGCCGGCTCAGTGGCGGGTCTGCCCCGGCCTGGCACTGCGTCGCCATAGAAACGGGAGCGTCCGAGGGGACGGGCCTGGAGGGCGGGGCGGGGCCTGGGCGCACGAGGGGTGGGTCTGTAAGTCAGGGCGGGGCCTAGGTGCAAGATGGGCGGGGCCTTGCACACGAGGGTCGGGGTCTGGGTGCAAGTGGGGCGGGATTGGAGGATTGGGCGGAGCCTGGTCACACGATGGGAGGAGCCGGGGTGCAAGCGGGGCGGGACTGGAGGTGGACAAGGAGCGTCAGCCCATGAAGCCAGCTGAGGCGGGGCTGGACGCAGGAGGGGGGCGGGTCTGGAAGCGGGACAGTGTCTGTGGCCATGTTTCCCAAGGGTCACTGCACTCAGACTTTATTTATTTATTTATTTGAGACAGAGTCTCACTTTGTCGCCCTCGGTAGAGTGCACTGGTGTCATAGCTCACAGCAAACTCAAACTCTTAGGCTCTAGCGATTCTCTTGCCTCAGCCTCCCAAGTAGCTGAGACTACAGGTGCCCGCCAACAATGCCTGGCCATTTTTAGAGACGAGGTTTCACTCTGGCTCAGGTTGGTCTCAAACCTATGAGCTCAGGGCAATCCACCAGCCTCAGCCTCCCAGAGTGCCAGGATTATAGATGCATACCCAGCCTCAGCTAATTTATTTTTAGTAGAGATGGGTTCTCACTCCTGCTCAGGCTTGTCTCAAACTCGTGAACTTAAGCAATGCACCTGCCTCTGCTTTCCAGAGTGGTAATATTACAGGCTTAAGCCACTGTGCCCAGCCCTGATCATAGAAACCTTAATACCCAGGCACCCCCTGTCAATGTCCAAACCCTGAATATACTCCAGGTAACAAAAGATAGAGGGCGGTGCCTGTGGCTCAGTAAGTAGGGCGCCAGCCCCATATACCAAGGGTGGCGAGTTCAAACCTGGCCCTGGCCAAACTGCAACAAAAAATATAGCTGGGCATTGTGGGAGGCTAAGGCAAGAGAATGGCTTTGATGCAGGACAAAGTGGCACCACAACCTGCTGCCTTAGCCCTGGAGGTGTTGATGCTGTGGAGGATGGAGGAACCAGCTTGCTGGAAGGGTGGACACCTGAGGGGGAGACACTGGCACCTTGCTGTCTCTTCCCTGTGCACTTCTGACTGGTAGATTTCATGTAAGTTTCCAAGTCCTGAGAGTTCATTGGATAGTTGGCTGTAACTGATGAAGACCCATGCCCTAAAAATCAGCATTGAGTTCTAGCAAAACAACCCCCTGCCACTATATAAACCTGAGCAGAGGACAGACCTCGAAGAGGGAGCAGGAGAGCTTGTTCCCTTCCTGGGTTCTCTCTGCCAGGAGGTTTAGTTTTTTGTAGTTGTTATAATTTTTGTTTTTGTGAATAAATCCTGACTTACCACTGATCCTGTGGTCCATTTATCCATTCTTCAAATCGTCCAGACCAAGAACCTGAAACTCCAGTATCAGCTTGAGCCCAAGAGTTTGAGGTTGCTGTAAGCTTTGATGTCACAGCACTCTACCGAGGGTGACATAATGACATTGCTCTGTTTCAAAAAAAAAAAAGAAAGAAACTGGCTCGGCGCCTGTGGCTCAAGTGGCTAAGGCGCCAGCCACATACACCTAAGGTCGCTAGTTCGAATCCAGCCCAGGCCCATGAAACAACAATGACAGCTGCAACCAAAAAATAGCCGGGCGTTGTGGTGGGCGCCTGTGGTCCCAGCTACTTGGGAGGCGGAAGCAGGAGAATCGCTTGAGCCCAGGAGCTGGAGGTTGCTGTGAGCTGTGATGCCACAGCACTCTACCCAGGGGGACAGCTTGAGGTTCTGTCTCAAACAAAAACAAAAACAAAAAGAAACTATCATAGGCCAATATGCCTGATGATCATAGATGCAAAAATCCTCAACATAATACTAAATACTAGCAAATCAAATTCAACAGCACATAGAAAAGGTCATTTACCATGATCAAGCAGCTTTTATCCCAGGGATGCCAAGATATCAACATATGCAAATCAGTATACATGATATATTGACATATTAACAGAATAAAGAACACAAATCACACAATATGGCCAGGCACAGTGGCTCATGCCTGTAATGCCAGCACTCGGAGGCTGAGGCAGGTGGATTGCCTGAGCTCATAGTTGGAGACCAGCCTGAGCATGAGTGAGATCCTGTGTCTAAAAATAGCTGGGCATTGTGGTAGGCGCCTGTGGTCCCAGTTACTCAGGAGGTTGAAGCAAGAGAATCACTTGAGCCCAAGAGTTTGAGGTCACTGCGAGCTATGAATTTGGAGGTGGTAGAGGAGGCAGGCTCATGTCAGGGGAAACTGAAGCTGTGCTACCTTTGACTAACAAGGGCAACAAAGTGAGCTTTGATGTCTCAAAAAAAAAAAAATCACATGATATTTTCGATAGACGCAGAAAAAGCATTTGAAAAAATTCAACAAATTAGGTATTAAAGGAATATACCAAAATATAACAGAGGCCATATAAGACAAAGCCATAGTTACCATCACAGATTAATAGAGAGAGAAAATATTGTATATACACACAGTGCAATACCACTCAGGAATAAGCAAGAATAGAATTCTGTCATGCATGAACCTGGAAGACATCATGATAAGTGAAATAAGCCAGGCTCAGAAAGACAAACACCCCATGATCTCACTCATGTGGAATCTAAAAAAGTTATCTCATAAAAGTAGATAGAAGGATACTTTTTTTTTTTTTTTTTTTGAGACAGAGCCTCAAGCTATCGCCCTGGGTAGAGTGCTATGGCATCACAGCTCACAGCAACCTCCCAACTCCTGGGCTCAAGCGAGTCTCCTGTCTCCACTTCCCAAGTAGCTGGGACTACAGGCACCCGCCACAACGCCCAGCTATTTTTTGGTTGTAACTGTCACTGTTTGGCGGGCCCAGGCTGGATTTGAACCCACCAGCTCAGGTGTATGTGGCTGGCGCCTTAGCTGCTTGAGCCACAGGCACTGAGCCAATAGAAGGATACTTGTTACCAGAGGCTGGGGAGGGAAGAAAGGATGGGGAGAGATTAGTCATGAGTATAGTTACAAAAAGGAGGAATAAATTCTGGGGCCAGTCAAGGACCCCAAGTTATATAATGTCCTAACAAACTCTAAGGTACTTAAGTCACAGAAGAGCTCCCTCCGCCTCTACAGCACCAATGCTCCTGAAGGTGAAGATGAAGACAGGGTCACTAAGGAGAGTGATGTGGGGAAACTGACCACCAAGGAGGAAGAGAAGGCGCATATGGCTCTTTCATTGTTTGAAAAGAAGGGATCATGCTCTGTTGCCCAGGCTGCTCTCTAACTCCTGGCCTCAAGTGATTCTTCTGCCTTGGCCTCCCAAAGTGCTAGACTTCCAGGTGTGGAAGGCCACTGTGGCCTTTTTCTATAGCTGAAATACTGGTTAGGAGAAAGTAGGGATATTTGACCGGAATAGAAGATAATAGGGAAATAATCTCATTTATTTTGGCCCCTTGACATTTGAGAAATTGTGCTTTCTAGAGTTCAGATTTTCAGAGCCAAAGAAAGCTAGCTAAATTTTTGAAGGATTAACTATGTAAGGGACTTCTCATCTCTGTTGGCAAGGTCAGGGTTATCAGAGGACAAGTCATTCGGGGGCTCTGACCTAGTCTCAGACATCCCAGGGAGATGTAGATTTCTCCTGGTTGCACAAGGTCACTGTAGAAGGCTGAGGGACAGGGACTGTACATACCTTCAGGCAGAATGTGCTGGTCTCAGGACAGTGGGCCAAGAATGGGCTGCAGGGAACAGTGTCACCCAGGGCAGGAAGAATGTGGAAGTGGCAGGCTGGTGTCAGGGGAAACTAAAGCTGTGCTTCTGGCACTGAATGCCACCAGGCCTGAAGACCCAGCTGACAAACACTTGACTCTGCCCTGACAGCAGCACAGCAAGGGTGTGGCTCATCCACACCCCAGGGGAGAGTGGGAAGAATGTGCAGGAAGAATTCCTGTCTCTAGCCTGACTCTTCAAAAGCCAACCAGCAGCTCTTTCTCCTCTGCTGTCTCCTTGAGAACCCTTGCCTCCTCCCCCATCCCAACCCCAGAAGTCTCTCCCCAGCACCAGGCCCTGGGCCCTTCCTCCCCAGCAGAGCATCCTCCCAGCTGTTATGTCCCTCCTGCTCTGCTGCCTGTGATCCCTTCTCAACTTTGCAGTGACAGCTCTTTGCAAGTTAGCTCCAGGTCAGTGTAGCTCTGAGGTCCCACCACCCAACCTGGACGTAGCCAGAACCCAGCTGCCCACCACCTCCAGCCACCACAGTCCTTGCTCCCAGGCAGGGCGACCAGGAGGCGCACCTCTTCCCTGGCTTGGCTGTCCTTTACTCTTTCAGGGTGAGTCACCACCAAGGCCCTGGGAAGGAGGGCCTTGCCCTGACCAGTCTCCACGTCCCTGCACAGGGAGAGATGAAGTGCAGGGTCATGCTGGCTCCCCACACCCACCCCTGTACAGGGTAGATGAAGGGCAGGGTCATGCCAGCCTGCTCCCCATGTCCCTGCAAAAGGGAGAAGGGGAGGGTTGTGCCCCTCCCCACACCCCTGCACAGGGGGACATGAAGGGCAGGATCATGCTTTGGATTTCAGAGCACTGTAGCTCTATCAGTTTTTGGAAGAAAACAAGGGTGGAGAGAGGAGTCAGCAAGAGAGTGGTGAAGGGAGCTGGGTGGGCGCAGACGGTGGACCACGTCTGGAGTGCTCACATCCCATCTTCAATTAACATGACTGGCAGAAGCCAGCCTTTGTTGGCTCAGCAATTATAGCTCCCACCACCCACAGTGGTTAGGGTGACAGCCACATACCCCAAGGATGGTGGGTTCAGAGTTTGGCCCGGGTCTGCTAAACAACAAATGCAACCTTAAAAAAAAAAAAAAAAAAATAGTTGGGCAGTTCTGGCAGGCACCTGTAGCCCCAGCTACTTGAGAGGCCAAGGCAAGAAAATCAATCACTTAAGCCCAAGAGTTTGAGGTTGCTTTGAGCTGTGACACCATGGCACTCTATCAAGGGCAACAAAGTGAGACTATCTCAAAAAAAAAAAAAAAAAGGCAGCCTTTGTTAATATTGACTTTAGAGAAACTTTTATTTCCTGTTTCCATCACATTTGAGCAAGGTGAGCTATGCAGGGAAAGGGGTTTTAGGCACTCAAGTGACAGCCCCTGGTGATGCCACCGTGGGGCTGGCAAGTACACAATTCACTCCCCAGCCACTCACATGACCCTTAAACCTCTGAAGTCACAGACTGTCACACTACGTTTGGTTCTGCTGTGTTGACGAGAAGTCAAAGCTCCCACAACTCAGACCCGGCCCAAGCCCGCCTCCTGGGGCCCCTGGCTCTCAGGACAGTGTCAGCAGGTGCACTGACTGTGGCCGCTGTGGATGAGCTGAGCCCTCAGGGTGAGGAACACATATGAAGACCAGGCTCCCGGACATTACTGGGGATCCTCAGTGGGTAACTGATTGGAGACCCAGCAAAGGTGCTGGGAGACTCAGGAGCAGAAGCAGCTGTGTTCATCAGACTCATGTTTGATTATGAGATTATGAGTTTGGTTGGATTTTTGGTCACAAGCCCCAACATGCCATTATTCAGAGTTGATGCTGAAGTAAAATACCCAACATTTACAATTAAAATGTTAGAAAAAACCTATAAACCCTATATACAAAAACAAAGTCATGGTTAAAAAACCACCGAGATGCCAGGCTCCTGCTGTCACCTGTAGGACATCTGTGGGGGTGTGAGGCCCTGTGGGGACTTAGGAAGATGAACACGTGCTTGTATATTTTGAACACTTAGGTGTTATCAGAAGGCCACATCTCTGAGCACTTGATCTCACTGAAGATATGAACAATGCTTTGGACCATCTGTGATTGGAGAACAGGTGACATAATCCATTCCCTGGACCTCACAGTATGCCCCATGATGGAGGACCAGCACCTCTCAATGGGCACAGTGGGTGGTGATGTAGGACACTGAGTGACAGGTGAAGCCCCTGTGCTCTGAGAGGATCCTTGTCTCCTCCAAGGTGGAATTCCATGGCCCAGTCTTGGAATGGCTAGGAGAACACGAAGAACCCTCAGGGTGCCAAACTTAACTTTATATTAGGAATCAGAGGACTGTGCCCTCTCATTTCCCCGGACTCTTCCCCTTTGACACTTTGATTCTTCCCTGAAGAGGAGGCTGGTCCCTCATAGGGAGAGGAGGTATTAGAAACCCACTGTGCCCCTGCTCCCCAGGAGCGATAGCAGAGGGGAGGACTGGGCTGCCTTACAAGGGGCATAAGCCCCTTGGCTTTGCTCAGCAAGATACTAAAATGGTTTCTGGGAGGAAGAGGCATCCAGCTGAGCTACAGGTGTTTGGGCTGAGAGAAAAGGGCTGGCAGCCGGCTGTCACCCAGCCTAGCTCGTGTACCGCCTGCTGCTACCACCTTCCTTGGCCTGCCTACGCCACTCTCCCTTCTCTAGGGGTTCTGTTTCTTCCAGATGACTCCACTGTTCCAGGATAATACCCTGAGTAGCCTGAAGATGACCACACTCTGGCTTGGAAGTGGCCTCCAGGCACATGTGCAATCTGCAGTGGACAAAGTGGCCAACCCATCAGAGCTGGTGCAACTTTCCTCGCTCAGTCAGCAGTGTCATGGCCATGGCATAGAGGACATAGCACAGGACAAGGAGCAGGGTGCAGGGCAGAGGCCCAATGTGGAACAGAGAGGCCACAAAGAAGGACAGCAGCAGTGACAGCAATGTCCGGTAGCTGCCCAGAAAACGCAGGCTGAGCCTTGGGCCCCGGACCTGGCCAGCTGCCTGTCTCCGCCCCACAGGACTCAGCAGGTGCCTGTTGGCCAGTGCAGGCTCCATGAGATGGTAGCGACAAAAGCTGCCAACGAAATCATTGCGGGAACACAGAGCTATCATCTGACCTGCAAACTGGAAGCACAGGGAGAGATATAGGTGGGGTGGGAACTGTAACTGCCACCTCACAGACTACCCCAGGGCTCAGGGAAAATCCTCTAGAGGGCTCCCCGCCACCTGGACTCGCCCCAGGTGTACAGATAGATCAAGAGGGCTGAGGTGATGAGCTCTGGGCAGGAGTATCCTCTGGAACCCATGCCTAGAAGAGGCCAGACAGCCCTCCAACCCACTTACTCTGTGGTTGATGGCAGATGACAGCCGGAAGAGAGCACGGACCAGGCTGGCAATCTCATAACTCCGGATGGGCTGCAGCTCAGAGTCCCCCTGATACTCAATTTCAAACCTTCGCAGCCCACTGATGATCTAGAAACCAAGGTGGTGGGGACAGTTCAGAGAGTATATCCTTATAAACAGCTTAGAGGAGCCCTCTCTGCTTACTGGGGCAGGGGTAGTGGAGGCTGGGTCAACAGGCCCAGCAGACGCCTCCACAACCCCGCCTCTTACCTGGTACCGGCCCAGGGGTGTGAGAATGAGTCCATCCTCACCCACGATGCAGTCTGGGAGCAGCTTCTTCCCAGTGTCATCCTGAGCGGTCCCCAAGGCGAGTGTGAGCTGTGTGAGCTGGGCTTCACTAAGCTGTCAGAGAAGTACCTTTGCTTTTAATTTCAAGGAAAACGGAGGGCCTGGTTTCCACCTACTGACCTCCAGCAGTGATGGTGGGGAACCACAGACCATGCTCCAAGTGGCCTTCCTCCCACAGCACTGGGTCCCTCTGTGGGGTGCCTGGCGTGGCTGGGCAGCCAGTGGATCCCATGGGGAAGGGAACCCAACAGCACCTAAGCAGGCACCACAGGTCATACCCGGAATATCTGGCACAGGTATCCCAAGGCCTTTTCCAGATGCTCATCTGTCTTCCGGACACTATCCTGGCCCATTTCGTCCAGGTCGTTGGGTGGGTAGGAGGAGTTGTTGTCCATGGACGTGAAGCGCAGCCATGACAGAAAGGAGCAGCCAGGTGGGCTCTCCCCGCACTGGTCGGAGATGGACTTGGCTGTCTGCTTGGCCTGTGTGATGAGCTGAGCAAGTCGCAGGACCTGCAGGAGGCATGGGCAGATTAGCAACTGCCCTGGGCGTCCCTCATCCCGCCATCGAGGGGAAAGACATGGGCTGCCATCCTCTGCAGCATGGCCTAGGTGAGCCCAAGACTGGTGATGTGACCAGAAGGAATGGCTTCTGAGTGAGAATGTTTTTGTTGATTTTTTTCTTTTTTTTTTTTGAGACAGAGCCTCAAGCTGTCACCCTGGGTAGGGTGCCATAGCCTTATAGCTCACAGCAACCTCCAACTCCTGGGCTCAAGCGAGTCTCCTGCCTCTACCTCCCAAGTAGCTGAGATTACAGGTACCTGCTACAACACCCAGCTACTTTTTGGCTGCAGCCATCATGGTTCTTTGGCGGGCCCAGGCTGGATTTGAACCCGCCAGCTCAGGTATACGTGGCTGGTGCTTAGCCGCTTGAGCCACAGGCGCCGAGTGTGTTGATTTTTTGAAATTTTTTTTTGAGACAGGAGTTTTACTATGTTGCCCTCAGTACAGTGTCGTGGTGTCACAACTCACAGCAACTCTTGGGCTTAAGCAATTGTCTTGCCTCAGTCTCCCAGGTAGTTGGGACTATAGGTGCCCTCCATAAATCTCAGCTATTTTTTTTTTTTTTTTGAGACAGAGCCTCAAGCTGTTGCCCTGGGTAGAGTGCTGTAGCCTCACAGCTCACAGCAACCTCCAACACCTGGGCTCAAGTGATTCTCCTGCCTCTGCCTCCCAAGTAGCTGGGACTATAGGTACCCGCCACAATGCCCAGCTATTGTGTGGTTGCAGCCATCATTGTTGTTTCGCATGCCAGGGCTGGATTCGAACCCGCCAGCTCAGGTGTAAGTGGCTGGCGTCTTAGCTGCTTGAGCCACAGGCGCTGAGCCTGATTTTTTTTTTTAATTAATTTATTTTCTTTTTCCCAGTCAGAAATATCCTGAAATTTAATTTAATTTATTTATTTATTTGACAGAGTCTCACTATGTCGCTCTGGGTAGAGTACGTCTCGTCACAGCTCACAGCAACCTCAAACTCTTGGGCTCAAGAGATTCTCTTGCCTCAGCCTCCAAGTAGTTGGGACTACAGGCATCCACCACAATGCCCAGGTGGATTTCTTTCTTTTTTTTTTGGTTGCAGTTGTCGTTTTTAGTAGGCCTAGGCCAGGCCGAACTCACCAGCTTCGGTGCATGTGGCTGGCACCTGACCCACTAAGCTATAGGAGCTGAGCCTATTTTATTATTTTTACAGACAAGGTCTCACTCTGTCACCCAGGCTGGAGTGCAATGGAGCCATCATAACTCACTATAGCCTCCAACTCCTGCCCTCAAGGAATCCTTGTCTCAGACTCCCAAAGCTTAAAGCTCTGAGATTACAGGTATGAGCCACCAGGCCCAGCCTGGTGAGGGGCACCTTCAAAGACTAATGAAATTAGTCTGAAAGTGAAAATTTCCCAACAAACACTGTCGTTATTATCACAAAAAAACTTAGATTGGATTGGGGGGAAAAAAGCATGTGTGTGCAATACTGTCCATACCCAGCCTTCTTCCTCTCTGTCCTAACACCTAGAGCCATCCCCAGCGCTGCTCATGCCCACAGCATCAGAAACTCTGTCCTGTGCGCAGAACTGTCAACTTACTCACCAGGGTGCGGACCTCGGGCCCGAACATTGGGGTGTACTTGCAATCCTGACCCTCCAGGCTGTACACGTGACTCTTCACTTTGAATGTGGCATCGGTGACCACAGGTGGCCAGGGTGACAGAAAGCTGCCCGTGAGTGTGGGAGCTGTGAAGAGCCGGTGCTGGCGGTGCGGGAGACCAAGCTCTGGCTCCAGGAACAGCTGCTCCCCTGGAAGGCAGGACAGCAGCCTGCAGATGCCTGGCACGTACTTCTAGGGGCACAGGGCACTGGCTGCCTCTTCTGAGGAGCAGTAGCCACAGTACACCTTCCTGAGTCCCTGCCCAGCAGCGTGTCTGTGCAGTATCCAGGACACGGCAGTGTCCACAAAGAAGCAAATGTCAACAGAAGCTGCGGACGACAGTGCCCAGACAAAACATGCCAGGGAGCATGTCTCCTCCTACACTGCCACTGCAGTCGCAGGGGGTTGCAGGGGAATCTCAGCTCATAGGGTGCAGCTCTTCCCTCTCCTGCAGAGTGCAGCAGTGACAGGAGGGCAGGGCCCAGCTAGGCTCAGACTCCACAGTCAGGACATCACCCACTTTGCCCTGAGATCCCAGGGGCACACTGCTTCCTGTCAGCCAAGAACTGGGCACTAATTTCACCAGGGCAGGGTTGGTCTGTCAGTCTGTTCCAGGACTGAGAACTTACCCTTCTGTATCATTTCAGCCAGGTTGGGCTGAGCAAAGACTTTGGCCACACGGAACACCATGAGAGCATTCTTGGGGCTGACAAGGTCTGTGCGGAGTGCACGGTTCAGGAAGCCCACGAACAGCTTGGTGTACATCAACAGGTTCTCCTGGACAAAGGGTGCCCTAGGGTGGCAGGCTGGGGCTAGTCTATGCAGGACCCAGCTCTGACCATCTGCTGGAGGGAGCTACACTGGTCATGTCCCTATAACTCCCTGAACAAGGACCTGTGATGGCATCACAATGGCAGCTCAGCAAATGTTGGGGAACAGGGAGAGGGGCAGGACACAGGCAGGTGACACCTAGGCCCTCGTAGGACAACTTATTTTCTCCCTTTGCAGGAGGACAAGGCCACCAAGGCAGACCTGGCCCATAGCCTGATAGGGCAAAGGGAAGAACCACCAGGGAGGTACAAAGGGGAGGCCTTAGGTAAGGAGTGGGGAGAATTTATTGGTCATACCAGGTATGATGGCAATTGGGGATAGCAGGGTAGCCTCAAAGAAGGAATAGGAAAGGCGGAGGAGGTGGCCACCACTGTGCTCTGTACTAGGGAGGAAACATGAGGCATGGTTTGGGGGGTGACCTGCATATGTATCTGGGGCAGGAGGGCACAGGGACAGGGAAGGATTCACCTTGCTGCTTCCTTGGGAATCAGTTCTGGGGTCCAGCAAAGGTTGGTGAAGGGAAGGTAGCCTGTGCTTCCACTTGGCGGGGGCTGGGAGAGAAGCCCATGAGGCCCCCGAGGACCTCAGGGCCAGGAGACCACAGCACAGGCCATTGGTATGGTGTCCCCACTAGAGCAGCATCTGCCTGGAGCAGCCAGGAAGAGGGTGGGAACTCACCATTTCTCTGACACACACCGGGGCTGAGGGTCACTGCTCTGAGCCTGCTTCTCAGGTGCGTATCTCCAGGGCTGCAGGTAGCTGAGCCACATCTCTAGGACCTGGGGAGCAACAGTTGTGCCCTGAGGACCCAGCTCCCAGAAGGCAGCTGTGAGGTCCACAACAGTGTCTGGAGCTCGTCCTTGACCTCAGTGCAGGTGCTGAAGAGAGGCTGGCTCCTCCTACCTGCTCTCCAAACGGTACAGGAGGCCCAGGCACAGCCCTCCAGAAGCAGGTTCTGCAGTGGGCTCCTCCCAGCCAAGGGGCCAGTGTAGCAGCTGAGGGCAGGACCCATATGGCTGGGACTGCCAGACAGGCCGGGCCTTTCTGCCCTTGGGGCCAGCTCTGGGAACCCAGGCAGGCAGAACAGCACAGCCCCAAAGGCCTCTGTTGTAGCAGTCAAATCCCTCCCCAGTGGGACACATTGAGGACAAAGGTGCAGGTGGGCCGAGCCAGAACTCACAGCTCTGAAGGACGCATCCAGAGGCCAGTGGCCAAAACAGTGCTGCAGGAAGAGGTAGAGCTTCTGCTGGACGAACCTCGGGACAGCAGCCCTGCAAGGCAGGGGTGGGGACAGAGGGACAGCTGTCACACTACAGCTTCACCCCTGGAGGAAGACTCATTCTTCAGAGAAGTAACCAAGGTCAGAGAGATCAGAGAATTCCCCAATGACACACCGCACGAAAGCGTCCAAGCCAGTATGGCTCCTGCATGTGCCTGCCCTCAACCCCACACAAGTCATTCAGTGGGTCAGGTGGGGAGTCAGGCTAAGGTCCCAGCCCTTCCCCTGATGGGAGTGTGGGTTGGGAGGAGAATGCAGTCAGTGCCAAGCTCCCACTGCTTCTGGGGAAGAAGCAATGAGAGTGTAGCAGCATGAGGCCTCTCTCTGTCCAGCGTGGCTCTTTCCACTAGAGTCGAGGCTGGAGGGAAAGGCCTTGGGAAGTACAAGCAGCTGAGCAGGCAGTGGCTGGGTGGGGTGAGCAGACATGCTTGGGAGGGGTCATGGGATGCCCACCTAGTCCTGACAGCCTTACTCCTCTGCGAGCACGGAGAGACACGCCTTGCCCTGGGCAGAGGTGGCTATGGGCTACGGGTTATACCTGGGTGGGGGGTGCAGGTGTTAGGGGCAGGGGAGAAGGCTGTGGCAGAAGTCATAGGAGTCAGCCCAGGGTCTGTACGCACCGTTTGAATTCCTCCAGGGGGCTGGTCGCATGAGAGTGGGTGGAGGGAGAGGCCTGTTCCGGTTTCAGGCTGTTGGCAAAGGCATGCAGATGTTTCAGCAGCAGGCGCACCACCAGCACGTGCTCCTCAGTGGGCGAGAACGACTCCTATTGTGGAGGAGGAGGAGGAGGAAGAGGAGGAGGAGGAGGAAGGTGTCAGGGCTCAAAGAGGTCTGCAGGACCCACATTGCTCAGCCCTCAGGTCCAACCACATCTGCTCCTGGGCTGTTTGCTCTGCTCCCTGACAGAGGCACGAGCCAGGCTGGTAGTGGGGGCCATACTGCTTGGTGTGAATCTAGACCAGCGCCCTAGGGTTGGGAAGAGCACTTGGCCCAGTGTCTAGCAAGCCCCACTCTATGAAGGCCTCATTAGTATGGGCAAATCTGCAAAGTGCTTCCTAGCCCTGCTTTTGCACCACCGTGAATGCTCAATGGGTGGTACAGGTCACAGCTAACCAGGCTGTGCCCTTGGGCATTGCTGCCCATCCTGGTTCTCAGGGGGCAGGAGCAGGGGCAGAGTTGCATCTGCCCCTCAGCTCTGGATCCAGGGCCTCCCGCCTGCCTCTTAGGATTGTGCAGAAAGCTTGCTGGGGCCCATGGCTTCTCCTTCCCTCCCCCACCTAGACATGGCTACATGGGTGCTCAGCCAAGAGGTGTCCAGGGAATCATTGCCTATTGTCCACAGACCTGTGGTCAGCAAAACCCCCAAGAGTACCATCATGAGCATGGGATAAACTTCTAATTTGCAACATATAAGCAGGCCCTCAGGAACCCAGGCCTATGAGGAAGCCTATTTGTCAACGCGGGGTGAAGTGGGGCTCCTGAGTCGGCTGCAGCAGGGAGTATGTGTATGGGCACCTGAAGGCAGGAGTCTGAGTGTGATGGACACGCACCTCGCCTCCTGGCATAGCCTGGCATGTAGAAGCCCACACATGGGCAGCTGCCCCCAGCACTGCCAGCTCAGGTCTACCTGTCAGGAAAACAGCTTCACACATGCAGGTGACACAACCCACAGGTTGGGGGCCAAGTCTAAGGATGGAACTACAGGATAAAAGGTAGTTTCTTCTGCTTATCTGTATTTTTTTTTATTTGTAGAGACTTTATCGTCCCCGGTAAAGTGCCGTGGCGTCACACAGTTCACAACAATCTCCAACTCCCGGGCTTAGGCGATTCTCCTGCCTTAGCCTCCTGAGTAGCTGGGACCATAGGCGCCTGCCACAACACCTGGCTATTTTTTGTTGCAGTTTGGCTGGGGCCGAGTTTGAACCCGCCACCCTCAGTATGTGGGGCTGGTGCCGCCCCCTTATCTGTATTTTTAAGTCTTTGTGTCATAAATAGCATTGTTTCTGAAATAAGGAGAATAGCAATACAATACTCACATCAGTACTAACAGCTTAGGACCCAACAGAAGAGCACCTGTGCTCCCCTGGGAACCTCCTCCTGCTTTAGCCCCATTCCTGGCCCATGATCAGACCTGGTCTGGGGTCCTGAGCCGTGGCATCATCCCTGTGGCTAACAGGAGGGGTGGACACCCACACCTTTCCCTGATAGAGCAAGCATCTGCTTCCCCTACCCTATCTTGCAATCTGGAGGGCCAGGCTCCTACCACCTGCACCCAGTTACAGCAAGTCCTGCAGGCCATTTTCCCACAGGTTTGTCAGGCCAAACATGCTCTCTTCCAACTTTGCACCCCTCCTAGGCCAAAGTCCCTTGTGGGGTCCCTGGCCACAATTGTTCTTGGCCTCTATCTGCTTGCTTTTTAAGGCAGTGTCCACAAAGCTCTATGTTTCCCATGAGGCCCAGCCTCCTTTGCCACATCCCCTGCTAGGGGGCAGGAGAATGTGGGGGCAAAGAGAGCCAGATGCGCAGCCAGGACACTGCCCCTCCTGGGCCCCCAACACTCCTCTGTAGGGCTTCTGCAGAGCAGGAGCTCTGCTGTGTGTGCTCTGTGGCTGCCATCCCATCCCCACAGGCACTTGGGGCCAAGCCACATTTTCTCATCTTGTGCTCACATTCACGTTCAGTTGTGTGCTCCTTCCCAAACCCTGGCCACAGGCACAGCTCTGTATTTCCATATCTCTCACCAACTAGCTAACTCCACTGTCCTTGAAATGCCACACAGGTCTAAACTCCACTTCACTGACCTCAAGTCTGTTTCCACACTTATCTTTTCTGCCCAGGTAGACCATAATCTCCACAAGGTCACTACCTGCTCACATCCACCTCAGGAGGAGTCTATCAGTGGCCAGGACTCCACTGGCAAAGACCAGCCCAGCTGGACGGTCAAGGACTGGCAGCATCTATGGGCTGTGAGGCTTAGCTCCAGATACTCCCCACCCCTCTCCTCACACATAGGCTAGGGTTGCTCTGAACGAGGCAGACCCTACAACACCCATAAGTTCTCAGGCCTTAGTATCCTCGGCCACCTCTTGGGCACTAGGCCCTGCCCCTCACCTCGGGGGTGAGCCAGACCATTTACTATTCCAGCTCCCTCAAACAGGACCCAAGCATGGGGCCCTCTAAACACCACAGAACTTGTGATACCTCCATTGGCTGGGGGACACCTGCCAGGACCATATGCATCTCGTTGTCACATAGCCACATCCCCCAAACCAGGCAAGTCTATAAAGCTGGGGGGTCCTCCCAACACACAGTTTCCCTGGCCTTGGAACTAGCCTCAGAATAATCCCCACTGGCCCCAGCCAGGGCCTGGCCTGGACACTGCACTGACATGCACTCTGTGGCTTACACCACGGGTAGGGGTGAGGGAGCAAAACCAGAGCAGCCAGTACTTGGTAGGCGTGGAGGGCCTGGAGGCTGGGCTGGGCAGGGCTGTGGAGGGCGCTGGAGACACTGAGTCGGTAGTGCAGAACCTCCAGCTGAGACAACGGAATAGAGAGGCCAGAGGAGAGGCAGGGAGAGTGGAGGATGAGAGGACGGGTGGGGAAGGGGAGAGGTGGGACAGGACAGGGCAGGGCAAGTGGGGAGAGAAAGAGAACAGTGAGAATGAGCCCAGAAGTAAGGAGAAAAAACAAAAAACAAAAGACAAAAACAAAAGTACAGTCAGTGACAACCCAAACAATCACAACCCCGGCCTCAGGCCAGTACTACACCATCCCTCCCGGAGGCCCAGATGGGCCCACAGGCAAAGCTGTGGCCTTGTAGGCTGAGGGACAGACAGGCCCTCAAGATCACCTAGAGGCCCCTCGATGTCACTGGGCCCTAAAGGCCTCTCCCACTCCATGACATTGGCTCAACTCACTGCCCTTCCAGAAGGGATGCACCGTCCTGGCAGACCCTGAGACCACAGTGTGTGTGGCACATGCATACCACAGCCCACTAGAACACTGGGACCCTTACTGGGGCACACTGCTGGGCACTAAGGCCCTGAAGGAAAAGAAGAGAAATTTTGGGGATACACATTCCAGAAGGGGGACTTTGCCAAGAAAGAAAAATATGTAATTTATTGATTTCCTAGGTTGTCTTGAGAAATTTACCAAACTGGCATATCACACAATCAATTTCTATGTGTCAAAAACTCAATCAGTATTCCCTCTGTGAATGGCTCTCTGAGAAATGAGAGGATGGGGACAGGGTCCTAAGGGTGCCACAGGCAGCAGCACAGGCAAGCCTACCAGGCCCCGCCCTCTCTCCATACCATACATTTCAGAAAACGGTAGAAGCGGGATGCTCACCAGTTCTAAGTCTGGGAATAGCCTCTCTACTAGGAACCCCTGCCCCCACCAGATGCACCAGGCTCCCCAGGGAAGAGGCCCCTGAGAATTCAGCTGAAGCCACACACATCCAGAGGCAGTGAGAGTTCTGAGGCAAGGACAGCCAGAGTAGTAGGCAAAGACAGCTGAGCTGCCATGCGCCCACCCCACCTCCCTTCCCTGTGGCGGCAAGGCCTACAGAAGCACACTTCAACCACGCTGGCCCAGAATCAGCCAGGACACATCCTGCCCTGTAAGAGCTCTGCCTCCAGGACCAAGCAGCATGCTCAATGGGTCTCACACAAAGGAGGTCAGGACACACTTGTCAGACACCAAGGAGACATGCAGAGTGGGGCAGGAGGGGGCATAGGAGGGAGCACAGCAGGGAGGGTTGTCCCTCACAACCTCCCTCCTGTCAGACCCCAGGCTCAGCCGCAACTTCTAGGCAGGAATTAGGAGCAAACAGTTCCCCAGAGGGTCTTATCTGCAGGAGTATAGGGCAGGGCCACCCAAGGAACAGCATGTGCCCTCGACCCAGCCCAGCCATGGAGGGACCCCTCAGGAGCTGTGCTTCCCGCACCCACAAATCAGAGCTTGGCAGGGACTGGAGAAGTTACAGGCAGGTGCAGCACAGGCTTGGATCCATGCTAGATACCTTAGGTGATGGAGCCTCTGCAGCTGTCTTTCCCTGGCTCCCACCTACCCTATTCTGCCTCAGTGGGAAGAAACAAAGGGTAGAGCCTCTTTTGGGCACCTGGCTCCCCGAATGCCAGTCATTCTGAGCAGATCTTGCCTACCCCAACCAAGGTCTGGCTGAGGGCTGGCAAATGTGAGGAAAATGTGCCCTTCTCCACTGACTCATAGGGACACAGAACCCTTATAGGTAAGAGCCCAGAAAAAACTTTCTGGTTGGCCCCTGAAAGTAGGTGTAGGCTCAGGAGACAGAACAGTCAGGAAGACAATGCAACAAAGCGGTCATGCCAGTGCAAGGCCAAGCCATGTGTGCAGGCTGAGCGAGCATTTCTGGGCCCCAGTGGAGAAGCAGGGCCCTAAGAATCAGCCACAGGGAAGCCCAGGGCCCATGTCCACGGGTACCAGCCAGGAACATGCAGCACATCTGCTGGAAGCAGGGAGGGAACTGCAGCTATTTGTGACTCCAGAGGCCAGAATGGAGATCTGGAGTACCTCGGGCTGAGAGAGCTGTGGTGGGGGGCTGTAGCCCAAGCTTCCACACAGCAGAGCACGGAGCTACAGAACACGCAGAGACTCTGCGACAGGAGCAGACCCACAGCTTCTTCTCAGATCCCAGGAAAGGTTCTAGACACCCTTCTCAATGCTAACTCATCACTCATGGATTCATGAGTGATACCCTCAAGAATTTTTTCTGGCAACAACAAAATCATTGACGCTAGAGCACGCTGACGCACAGGAGCTGTAGGCACCAGACAAGAGGCCAGGGGTGCAGGGCTCAAACTATTGCAGAGAATGTGGCAGTAACTGCGGATTTAAGTACACCCAGCCACTGTTATACTCTGATTAGTCTGGCAGGGTGCTAGCCCCAGGGACAGCAATATCAAGAGAGTTCCAGACACTCTGCTACCTCCACAGCTCTATAAATGAGCATACTGTCCAGAGGGGAGCAGGACAAGAAAAAGAAAAAGGCAGGCAGGCTGCATGCAGTAAAGCACTGGGCAAGGGCTCTGGAGGAGGCGGGACGGCAGCACAGGCAGCAAGAGAGGCTCAAGGTCACCATGGTGAGCTGGGGCTGCCCAAGGTCAATAGCTCACTGGAAAGCACAAAGGCACCGCTGGTGGGAGGGGACTGAGCTGTGACTCCCAGAGGCATGTGCAACTCCCCCACCCCCAGAGCAAGAGCAACCTCATATGTTCCTGCTACTAGAGAGGGGCTTCTAGAAGCTACAGAGAGGATCCTCGAAAGAACAGACCTCAAAACACCTCAAATGGCCACCCATCAGGCTTTAAACCCGCCCTCCCCCCCAAAATTAGAGACCACTACCCACCTTTAGTTTGGCATCTGAAGGGTGGATGGTGGGATTATGCTTCCCACCATTCAGCCTGTGAAAACTAACTCAGACTGAGGACAAGATGCAGCAGGTTGACCAGGACCAGAGGCAGGAGATGGGAAGAAAAACTGTGGAAACATACCTTGGCATGAGGGGACTGCATTTTTTGGTACATCTCCAAAGAATAATGATGAAGCCACATTTCAACAAAAACCTGCAAAAGAACAACAGCTGGTCAAATCTTTTTTTTTGTTTTTTGTTTTTTGAGACAGAGCCTCAAGCTGTCCCCCTGGGTAGAGGGTCGTGGCATTACAGCTCACAGCAACCTCCAACTCCTGGGCTCAAGCGAGTCTCCTGCCTCCGCCTCCCAAGTAGCTGGGACCACAGGCACCCGC